AATACATCCAGTCTCCCAAGCGGGACTTGGACCAGGCAGACGCGAAGTACAAGAGTGATGTGGAGGAGCTCAAGGCGACGCAGCAGGACGCCAAGGAGACCACCAAGACCATTCTCAGGCTCTCGCAGCTTGTCGAGACCTCCTTCGACTTTGCCAATTTCATCGACCTTGGGGAGCTGGTTGCCGACGCTTCTTTGGAGACGGAGTTGCAGCAGTCCGACCTCGACGAGATCGAGCGGAGGAAGCAGCATCTTGGCGAGTCCATCAAGAAGCTGGCGACCGACTTGTTGGGGCCCCTTGTCAAACAAGCTCAAGAGGTCAAACAACAACATGCTGATCATATGGCTCGCTTGCAGTCGAAGTGGAGGCGCGTCGGCTCCCAGGACGGCGAGGGCGACTCCAATGGCGGCGGTGCTGAGGTCTTGGCGGTGTTGGAAGCGTTGTAATATGTTCAGCGGCAAGATGGGCAGAAGATCTCCTTGCGCGCCTGGGCCACCAGGGGGTCGACCCTCCGAGAGCCCCACCGTTCTATGCTCCATCCCGAAAGCTGCTGCGGGCGGAGAGCATGAGCCTATCGACCCCCGCAATTCGGGCCCCGGAGCCCGCCTGCCCCCCCCCCCCCCCCGGAGCAGTTTTCTCTGCGCGTCCAAACGGGCAATGGGAACGGCTGGGGCTTCATGCAGGGTTGGATCACGCTCTCCAAGGCCCACGTGGTGCTCACTCAGGAGCACAAACTGCGTGCTGGGGACCCCGTCAAGAAGGCTTCCCAGCGATGCTCGGCTCGAGGATGGCGCTGTCTTTGGGAACCAGCGGCCCCTGGTCAGGGCTCTGGGTCGTCTGGGGGCGTGGCTACCCTGGCCAGGGACTACATGGGGCTCCACTCTCCTCCTGAAGGTTGTTAAGTGGTTCCTCATAAAGTTATTGCTGGCTATGTGCACCCTCCTGGGGGGCATTCTACGTTGGTGATCACGTTATTTGGTGACGTCGTTGGGCCTCTCTCACGCCAACCTAGATATCCTCGCGAGTATTTGGGGCTGCATGTCGGTAGCTGAAGGAGGTGCGCTCGCAAGTGGTGACTTCAACCTGCAGCCTGAGGACCTGGACAGCGTGGATATCGGCACTAAACTCCAGGGTCAGGCTTTGGCGCCTGACGGGCCCACTGTTTTATGGCGCAGCCTCCGATCATGTATGATGTTTCTTGGGTTCCGCTGGCCTGGCGAAGAATATTCGGGAAATCCAGGTGAACACGGGTGCTGATTTTTTCCGCACTGTCCAGTCGACCTGTATTTGCACCCTAGGCTCGCGCAATTGCACAGGCAATCGCTTTTCGACGGCCTCCGCCGCTGCCAATTGAAGCTCCGATTGAAGTCCCGAACCTCCGAGGCGGGATGATGTCGTTCAGCTGGGGCATCGCGCTGTTCGCACAGCGGACGCTGGCTTTGTCGATGAGGCTCAGGTGCTTTTGCATGCTCTTTAAAAGTATTGGGCAACACGTCCGAGAAAGAGCTGTGTTCGGTGTTTGGGGCCACCCTTCCGTACTACGGAGCTATAAGCAAAAACTCTTAGACGTGTTGGAAGAGTTTGGCCAAAAAAACAACCAGTCGAGGTATCCTGAGCTTTACTGTGTTCGCTTGCTCAGTGTCAGGTTCATGGGCCTGGGTCGGCGCATCGCTTCTGCTGTCGGCAGGCTTGGAGATGTGGGCCCGTCTTTTGGGTAAGTTGAATGATGCTCCTGGATTCATCGGGGCCAACATGGGCGAGTCTGCGGATGTCTTCAGGCGAATTAATGGTTTCCTGGACAGTAGGGACCAGTCGGTCCCTCTTTCGTATGTTTTGGCTTGCGACTTTGAGGACATCGGCAGCGACGTCTCCGAAGCTCTCGAGGCCACCATCAGGAAATACCAAGCTACCGGCCTTCAGGATTAGAAGTCCTGGATCACTCACAGGTTAGACCAGGGGGGAAACGGGCACACAGCGTTCTCAGAGATCTTGCGTCTTGGACTCCGACGACCTCGCTGTCGGCGGGAGGGCGCGTGTTTTCGGACCCGCTGGCGATGTTGAGTTGCGAGAATGACAAGCTTGGGGCTTACTGGGAGGCTTCCAGTGAGCCGCAAGCTAGAGGCCCGCGTAAGACGCACGTGCCCCCTCCCCCTCTTGGCCCCTGATGCCATCAGGAATCTTTCAAAGCAATACAAAGCGGGCAGTGCGGTAGGTGCGGATGGCTTCCATATGAAGCACTACGCCTTACTCTGCGATGATAGTCTGCAGATCGTCTCTATCATCTACCTCATGGAATCATTGGGCCCCCTCCCGTCTCAACTCCATGTCGCCCCCATCGCCCCCCTCTCCAAAGTGCAGGGAGGCTGGCGCCTCATCGTTTTTTGTTTGCAGTATGCACAGGCTTTGGGGCAAGTCCCGCAGGCCGCACGGACCCCAGTGGGAGCTGAATCATGGGAGGCCTTACTTCGCGGCTGGGAACCACCGCGGAGCACTGGACGTCGTGTGGAGGCAAGCCTTCAGAGCGGAGCAGGGGGTTCCAGACGGGGGGGGCGGTAGGACTTCAGTGGCACACGCACAAATACCATGAACTGTTTAGTTTGTCCCGCCTCGAAGATCAGGCCCTTCGACATGGGCTTCCTCCTGCCATCGCATATCTTACGTCGGCTGCTCATCGCGCTCAGAGTTACGTTTGAATGGCTGGTTGTATCAACGGTCCGCGGTCTGTGGTCAGAGGGGTTGTGGCTGGCTGCTCCTTCGCTACCACGTATGTACGTATATACGCGACTGGGGGCCTATGACAAGGTTATGGCTACTACACAACATAGTACGGCTCTAGATTCCTAGATTGATGACAACACGCTCACGTCGGCTGGCCTGCCAGATCGAGTTGTGCGGGATAGTTGTGATGCTGCTGATGTTGTACACTGTGTCATCACGGTTGACATGGAGGCGAGGATCGCCGACGACACTATTGCTATGATCTCATGCAGCGCAGCGGTAGCTAAGGCCCTCCAAGATCATCTTGGGGCCCTTGCGGGGCATCGCCTCGCGGTCACGACGAGCATAGGGGTTGATGCTACCGCTGGGCTGGCCAGGCGACAAGCAGGTAGGTCAACAAAGTTTGGAGTCCGCATGGCCCTCTTCAAGAGGACGGTCAAGCGGCTCCAGCGCCAGCGGATGTTTATCGGCAAGCGTACTATGCGCATCTGTGCGAGTGGCCCCATGCCGGGAGTTTGTTACGGTTGCACTGTCTTCGGGATGTCGGATCATGAAGTGTTGCAGGTTCGTAAGGGGGCCGCTTCGACGATGAGACCATCAGCGGGGATGAGATCGCTGTCGGGGCTGATGATTTTAGAGGACGTCTGCTTGGTTTGGATCGGTGGGTGTCGCTGTGCGCTACGCCCAAGAGAGTTGCTTTAGACATACTCGGTTGCTCGAAGGGGCTGGCCCCTGGCATGAGCTCAGGACTGGATGGGAGGCGGCCTTCAGCCAATCTCGCGCAGTCACTTGGAGGAAAGTAGCAGGTCCCATGGCAGCACTGCGCCTCTCTCTAGACAGGACCAGTTGGACGATGGAGTCGTTCGCAGAATACGTTGACGACTTCGGTAACTCGATCTCACTCACCCTCACTGCGCCCAAGCTGGTAGGGATCCTGCTGAAGCAGGCCGTTATTCTGGCATTGGAGAGGGATGTGGCAGATAAGGAGGGGATCGAGTGCAGGGTATGTTTTGATATCATGAAGACGGCGGCGTCGTCGTCCAAGTGCACGCCTCTACAGAGGGGCTGCATCAGGAGCGTTGCCACCAACGCCTTCTGGACGCTGGTGCTCGCGCAGGCTCTCGGTTACCAGGTCGACAGTGTTTTGTGCGAGCGCCGCGGAGAGGCCGAGGACTCTTTGCTGCACCGTCTGTGGCTATGTACGAGTTGCCAGGCGGAGAGGGACGATAGTTTAGGGGAGAAGCACAGGAACTACTGCACCGAGGCCGCGGAGGCGACCTCCACCAAGGATGCTCTGCTCTTCTCACGTGGCTTGCTCCAGCACACCAGGGACCACTGGCCTCGACCTCTGACCGATGGCGGCGTCATGTTTGAAAATCATGCTCCAGGGGGGACCGACAGTACAGGAGGTTTAGAGCTTTCTGGGGACCTGTTTATCAACGGGTCCTGCCACAAACACCCGATCCGTGAACTGTCCAGGGCTAGCTTTGGAGGGAGGCGTGGTTTTGAAACCCGATGGCTCCATTGGGGCTGGGTTGTTTGCTCCTCTGCGGGCCCCCTGGCCCCAGACGCCCCAGGGGGGCGAGTACGGGATTTTCGCGGCCGTGATGCATATGCTGGTGGGCCCCACCACGGTTTTTTCAGACTGCCAATCGATGGTCAACCATTGGCAAATGGCCAGGCCTCTCGCGCTGTCTCACAAGCACGTGCATGCAAGGTTCGTGTTGCAAGCACTATCAGGCCGACAGCAGTTCGTCAGTGATGTATGTAAGGTGCGTGCGCACCAAGAGCTTGATGACAGCTTGCCCGAGGCACAATACCGATTGCGCCTAGGCAACTGTCGCGCTGATCGCCTGGCCAACTTAAGCCGCGAACAGCATCCCAGACCGTCGGAGGAGGAAGTGTTCGTGCTGGGGAGGAAGATCACCATTGCGCGGCAAGTCGCGAAGATGGCTGAGCATTTGCTCCCGCTGTGGTCCGGATTAAACCTCCAAGGCGTGCCCTGGGTGAAGCCTGCTGGTGGAGCCAGCCGCCTGGCTAAGGCCAAGCACACGTGGGCCAAGATTGGGAGAGCTTGGCAATGCAGACTCTGTCTAAGGGGCTCGCGCCTTGAGCGACCCCCTGCTGAGCCATGTGCTGGCCCCGGCGGCCTGCGTTGTCTAAGACCCCAGACTCTTAAGGAGCTGGGGCACAAGATGGCTGCCTTCGACTGCTCGAACGGCTCGTTTGTAGCGGTATGCACGCGGTGCAAGCTCTACAGCACTGGAGGCAGGTTGACGGAGCTGGGCAAACTCTGCCCGCCTTTTAACCTGCCGCTGTCTGATCACAGGATGCGAGGACGTCGGTACAGTTGGAATCGCATCCTGCAAGGCAAGCATCCCAATAATTCGGTGGCTGTACTGTTCGTCGATTTCCTGGAAGATTTGCAAGAGCCCCCCGCGTAGCGCGGCTGTCTTCTCTTGTGCCGTCCGTTTCGCCCCAGGCTGTTTGCCTGTGGTGGGCACGTCGGCCCGCAGCTCGGTTGCACCCTGGGGATGTGAGTCTCCAGCGTTGCCCGACCTCACTGCAGCCTGCCCGAGCATGCACAGTCGCTCGTGCAGTCATCCTCTGCGCTGATGTTGCAAAAAATGCTGCTCCTCCTCCTCCTCCTCCTCCTCCTCCTCCTCCTCCTCCTCCCCCTCCTCCTCGTCCTCCTCCTCCTCATCCTCGTCCTCCTCCTCATCCTCCTCCTCCTCTTCCTCCTCCTCCTCGTCCTCCTCCTCCTCCTCCCCCTTGCTCCAGGACCTCTCTTCCCAGAGAGCCGACACCTTCCTTGAATCAATGCGGGATCCCCAGAAGTCCCGACTCTTTGCACGCCCTCACAGCAAAATCCAAGATCCGAACGGACCAACACCTAAATCACCCCACTGGGCCACAGAAATCGCACGTGCTCAAGGATCAAGACAGAGAGGAGGTTAGAGCAGGAAAGAAGGCCAGTTTTTCATCCTAGTCATTTTTTATGGCCCTGGGGCCCAGCAAGGAGGCCGAAAACGGCGAGGGACATTCTCCGCCTTGATTGTCTCAATTTGGAGGCTTGGAAATGGACATCATCAGCAACACAGTGGGTTGCTTCCATCGGGGGAAGATGATCCTAGATTTTGTTGGTGGTGGCTATGCTTCGGCCACCTAGGACGCCCGAATATTGTCGCCATCACCGAGATCGGGATCATCATCCCTCGGTGAAGGCACACCGCCGATCTTGGTGATGCTGCCAACCTCTAGGCCTCCGATCAAGGCGTTGGATATCTGGGGATCCCCCATGCTGACGTCCGGATCGGCGGGGTAGGAAAATAGAATCGCAATCCGTTTACCGCAATTGTGCCGAAGCTGCTTTGAAGCAGGTGGCGCTTGTAGCGCCCCAGGCCTCCCGGTCCCGCGGGCCAGCTGGTAGTCACAACACTGAGTATTCAGCAGAAGTTGAAAAAGCGAGATAGCCTATCAACAAAGGGCTTCGTACAAGGCAGGGGGCCTTCTCAGAAGCACCCAGGGAGACTTCGGAGGAGCCTTCCTGGAAGCCTCTGGGCGCTCCTAAGAAGGCCCTGGCCTTCCTAGAAAGCCATCCCAGGGGAACCCAAAAGGTACTGATATCGCTACTCGTCGGACCTCTCCCACGGTGCGTTCTGACTAGGATTTCGAAACGAAACCAGCCGTGGCGACGAGGGCCTCCCTGGAGGCCCCAACAGGCGAAAACGAAGCATGTGTAGCGGTATCGATACCTGTTCCTCCTCTGAACCCCCTCGCACCACCCCCCATGTTACAGGGGCCCAGGAGGCCACGAATTAATCTACACAAGTTGCAGGATGCCCAATATTTGCCAATCTGTCCTGGATGCCCTGCTGCCCTCCATGTCCCACTTTGTCCCATATGCTCATGCAGATCAGCTTATACCCATGTGTTCGCAGATGCTTTCCTCCTGACATGTATAAGGGCAGAATGACCACCCTCAGAGCAAGCACCCCGACTAGAGAAGCCGTGTAGTAAGCACAACTGGGAAAGGAATCGAACAGGGCAGGACTGCTCTGTCAACGCCCAGGGTTGCTTAGCAAACGCCATTTTTCGAAGGCGCCCAAGGACTCACAACTACATCGACACACATCCCAGAATTCCAAATAGTTGCCCATGTTTTCTGTGCGGTCGTTTTCCCGTCAACTTCACACATCTGCCATGCTTCCTGCGGAGGAGGAGGAGGAGGAGGAGGAAGGGATCAGGAGGTGGAGGAGGAGGAGGAGGAGAGACAGGAGGAGAGGTAGAGGGAGAGGAGAGAAGAGGAGAAGAAGGACGAGGATGGTGAGGAGGAGAAGATGGAGGAGGAGGAGGAGGAGAGGAGGAGGAGGAGGAGGAGCAGGAGGCGGAGGAGGAGGGGAAGAGGAGGAGGAGGAGGAGGAGGAGGAGGAGAGGGAGAGGGAAAGGGAGGAGGAGGAGGAGAAGAAGGACGTGGATGGTGAGGAGGCGGAGGAGGAGGAGGAGGAGGATTCAGAGGAGGAGGAGAACGAGGGAGAGGAGGAGGAGGAGGAGGAGGGAGGGAGGAGGGGGATCAGGACGATTATGTATGACTGTGCGTGATGCTGCTCCCTCGTGCGCGCCGCCGAGGCTGGGCGGGGGAGAGGCTGGCGGCCCCGCCTCGGAGACCACGCACTCGGTGGCGGAGCGCGCGAGGGGCCTCCCGCGGAGCGAGGCCGAGGACGAAGCAGAAGGCGCCGCCTCCGCGGGGGTCTTCGCTCCCGCTCACCCTATAAGCTCAGTGTTGTCGCTACCCGCTGCCAACTCGTCCTCCGACCCCTCCTGCTCCGTCCTCCTCCTCCTCCTCCTCCTCCTCCTCCTCCTCCTCCTCCTCCTCCTCCTCCTTCTCCTCCTCCTCCTCCTCCTCCTCCTTATCATCCGCCCCGCCTCCGCCTCCGCCCCCGCCCCCGCCTCCACCTCCTCCTCCTCGCCTCCCTCCTCCTCCTCCTCCTCCTCCTTCCTCCTCCTCCTCCTCCTCCTCCTTCCTCCTTCTCCGCATCGTCCTCCTCCTCTTCATCTCCCCTCCTCCTCCTCCCTCCTCCTCCTCCTCGTCCGCATCCTCATCTTCCTCCTCCCTCATCCTCATTCCTTTCCCTCCTCCTCCTCCTCCTCCCTCCTCCTCCTCCTCCTCCTCCTCCTCCTCCTCCTCCTCATCCTCCTCCCTCTCCTCATCCTCCTCCTCCCCTCCTCCTCCTCCTCCTCCTCCTCCTCCGCCCCTCCTCCTCCTCCTCCTCCTCCTCCTCCTCTCCTCCTCCTCCTCCTCCTCCTCTCCTCTTCCTCCGCCTCCTCCTCCTCCTCTCGCCTCCTCATCCTCCTCCTCCTCTTCTCTCCTCCTCCTCCTTCGCCTCCTGCTCCTCCCTCCTCCTCATCCTGCAAATCCTCCTCCTCGTCATCATCCTCATTCTTACTTCTCATCATCCCCCTCCTCCTCATTCTCCTCTTCCTCCTCGTCGTCCTTCTCCCTCCTCCCTCCCTCCCTCCCTCCTCCCTCCATCCTTCCATCCTTCCCTCCCTCGCCGCTCCCCTCCCTTCATCCTCCTCCTCCCCGTCTCCTTCTCCTCCTCATCCTCCTCCTCTTCATCCTCCTCCTCCTCCGCCGCCTCCTCCTCCGTCCTCATCCTCACTCCTCCTCCGCATCCTCCATCTTCCTCCTCCGTCCTCCTCCTCTTCTTATTATGGTTAGGGTTATTAGTCGTATGGTTATCAATATTATTAGTATTCTTAATATTATTATTATTATTATTATTATTATTATTATTATTATTATTATTATTATTGTTGTTATTATTATTATTAGTATTATTATTATTAGTATTATTATTAGTAGTAGTATTAGTATTAGTATTATTATTATTAGTATTATTATTAGTATTATTATTAGTAGTATTAGTGTTATGATTATTATTATTAATAATAATATTGGTATTATTATTAGTCGTAGTAGTATTATTAGTAGTAATATGTTAGTATTATTATTATTACTAGTACTATTATTATTACTAATAATATTATTATCATTAATAATATTATTAGTATTAGTATTATTATTATTAGTAGTAGTCATATTAGTGTTATGATTATTGATATGATTATTATTATGAGTAGCATTTGTAGTGTTATCCTTAGTGTTGGTAGTATTGGTGTTTGTCGTGTTAGTAACAATGTTCTTATAATTATGGTGAGCCTTAGTATTAGTATTATTGGCCTCGTTAGTCGTATTATTAATAGTGTTGGTATTCGTATTGCTACTACTCTTCTGAATAATAGTAGTACTCTCCTTATGTGCATTAGTATTATGATGCGTATTAGTATTATTATTACTAGTATGCGTAGTAGTGTTCTTATTCGTCTCAGTCGTATCATGCTCCCTCGTAGTATTATTATTAGTATTAGTATTATTCATGTTCCTCTTCCTCTTCCTCTTCCTCTTCCTCCTCCTCCTCCTCCTCCTTCTCCTCCTCCTCCTCCTCCTCCTCCATTCCTGTTCCTGATAAAATTACCCTGCGACATACCCAACCCTTTCTGTACATGCGGCGAGTATACTCAGGACCACTCAATGCTGACTGGCATTCTGAAGGACTCGCAGTGCGCAAGAAGAGCACCCAGCTGCGATTTCGGAAGAGCGCAGCAAGAAGAGCAGCGGCGAAACTGCAAAACAGACACACAAGGGGCGTTTGTGGTGGTCCGCGTACGACGTACCTCCGCTGGGCCTCCCAGGAGCCCACGAAAGTGGCGACAATTGCGCAGATCGCAAGCCCCCCAGGGCCGGCGAGGTCCCGTGGTGATCCGCATATGACGTACCTCCGCTGGGCCTCCCAGGAGCCCACGAAAGTGGCGACATTTGGGCAGATCGCAAGACCCCCAAAAGGCGGCGAGGTACCGAGGTGATCCGCGTGGGATCCACCTCTGCCAGCCTCCCAGGAGCCAACGAAAGTGGCGACAGTTGCGCAGATCGCAAGCCCCCCAGGGGGCGGCGAGGTACTGAGGTGATCCGCGTGGGACCTACCTCCGCTGGGCCTCCCAGGAGACCACGAATGTGGCGACAGTTGCACAGATCGCAAGCCCTCCAAGGGGCGGCGAGGCACTGAGGTGATCCGCGTAGGACCCACCCCCGCTGGGCCTCCCAGGAGCCCACGAAAGTGGCGACAATTGCGAGCCCCCCCAAGAGCGGCGAGGTACCGAGGTGATCCGCGTCGGACCCACCTCCGCTGGGCCTCCCAGGAGCCCACGAAAGTGGCGACAGTTGCGCAGATCGCAAGCCCCCCAGGGGCGGCGAAGTACCGAGGTGATCCGCGTGGGACCCACATCCGCTGGGCCTCCCAGGAGCCCACGAAAGTGGCGACAGTTGCGCAGATCGCAAGCCCCCCAAAAGCGGCGAGGTACCGAGGTGATCCGCGTGGGACCCACATCCGCTGGGCCTCCCAGGAGCCCACGAAAGTGGCGACAATTGCGCAGATCGCAAGCCCCCCAGGGGGCGGCGAGGTACCGAGGTGATCCGCGTGGGACCCACCTCCGCTGGGCCTCCCAGAAGCCAGGAGCCCACGAAAGTGGCGACAGTTGCGCAGATCGCAAGCCCCCCAGGGGGCGGCGAGGTACCGAGTGATCCGCGTGGGACCCACCTCTGCCAGGCCTCCCAGGAGCCCACGAAAGTGGCGACAGTTGCGCAGATCGCAAGCCCCCCAGGGGCGGCGAAGTACCGAGGTGATCCGCGTGGGACCCACATCCGCTGGGCCTCCCAGGAGCCCATGAAAGTGGCGACAATTGCGCAGATCGCAAGACCCCCAAGAGCGGCGAGGTACCGAGGTGATCCGCGTGGGACCCACCTCTGCCAGGCCTCCCAGGAGCCCACGAAAATGGCGACAGTTGCGCAGATCGCAAGACCCCCAGGGCGCCGCGAGGTCCCGAGGTGGTCCGCGTGGGACGTACCTCCGTTGGGCCTCCCAGGAGCCCACGAAAGTGGCGACAGTTGCGCAGATCGCAAGCCCCCCAGGGGGCGGCGAGGTCCCGAGGTGATCCGCGTGGGACCCACCTCCACTCGGCCTCCCAGGAGCCCACGAAGTGGCGACAGTTGCGCAGATCGCAAGCCCCCCAGGGGGCGACGAGGTCCCGAGGTGGTCCGCATGGGACGTACCTCCGCTGGGCCTCCCAGGAGCCCACGAAAGTGGCGACAGTTGCGCAGATCGCAAGCCCCCCAGGGGGCGGCGAGGTCCCGAGGTGGTCCGCGTGGGACGTACCCCTGCTGGGCCTCCCAGGAGCCCACGAAAGTGGCGACAGTTGCGCAGATCGCAGACGGCACAAGAGAAGAGGAGAAGGGAATACAGGAAACTTGAGAGAAGGAGGAGGGGAGGAGAGGGGAGGAGGAGGAGGAGGAGGAGGAGGAGGAGGAGGAGGAGGAGGAGGAGGAGGAGGAGGAGGAGGAGGAGGGAGGACGGGGCGACCACACTGATCTATTCAAAACGAATACCTAACCATAGGAGGGTTGGGAATAGCTTCTCCCTGTCGCACCCCGAGGCAAGTTTTTAGGGCGGGTCGGGCGTTTCGCCTGGGACCTCCTCACCATCTATGACTCTGAAGCTCAAAACTGGCAACAACTTCACAGATAGAAGGCGGGTCGTGTTCAAAATGTGGCTCTCGCGTCAGCGCCGCGCACATTCGTTTTAAAAATTTGCTGGAGCTTCACGGATTGAGGATTACCCGTTTGCAAAATGTGGCTCTCGCCTTAGCGCCGCGCACATTCGTTCCAGAATTTTGCAAGAGCTTCACGGATTGAGGGCGGTTCCTTTTCAACATGTGGCTCTCGCCTTAGCGCCGCGCACATTCGTTCATATAATTTGTAAGAGTTTCACGGATTCCCGCGATCAACGTACCAGAAACGGTGCTTTGGAAAGATTCTGGACCTTGCGGGGTGCAACAGTTACGTTGATTCGCGGCGTTGGAACCCCAAGAATGGCGTTCTGGTACGATCCACGGTCGTCAAGACGCAACAGTCAGGTTGACCGTGGCGTTGGAATCTTGAGAACAATGTTTTGGCATGCTCCCGTCTTCAACCGGATGTCTTCCAACAAGGCAGGTCCCTCAATGGAAATGAACCGTTGTAAGGGCCTATGAAAGGGGAGCTTGGATGGAGGGTGGATTCCAACATCGTTGATGGCTCTTGGGTTTACGCTGGTCCTCCTCCTCCTCCGCCCTCCTCCTCCGCCCTCCTCCTCCGCCCTCCTACTCCGCTTCCTCCTCCTCCTCCGCTTCCTCCTCCGCTTCCCTCCTCCTCCTCCTCCTCCTCCTCCTCCTCCTCCTCCTCCGCCTTTCTCTGTATGAATAACTTCTCCCTATCGCACCCCGAGGCCAGTTTTCAGGGCGGTCTGGGCGTTTCGCCCGAGACGTCCTCACGACTTACGATCCGGAAGCTTCAACATTGGCATCAGGTTCGCAGGTGGAGGGCGGACCGTTCTCAAAATGTGGCTCTCGCCTTAGCGCCGCGCGCATTCGTTTTGAAATTTTGCAAGAGCTTCACGGATTGAGGGCGGGTCGATGTTCGACTCTCGCCTTAGCGCCGCGCACACTCGTATCAAAAATTTGCAAGAACTCCACGGATAGAGGGTGGTTTCAAAATGTGGCTCTCGCCTTAGCACCGCGCACATTCCTTCTAACAAAATGCAGAAGTGTCACGGATTGAGGGCTGTTCCTTTTCAAAGTGTGGATCTCGCCTTAGCGCCGCGCACATTCGCTTATTTCATTTACAAGAGTTCCATGGGTTCCCATGATCAGCGTACAAGAAACGATGTTGAAAGGATTCTGGATTATGAGGGTGCCACAGTTGCGCTGAGTCCCGGTGTTGAAGTCCCAGGAATGGCGTTCTGGCACGGTTCAAGATCGTCAAGACGCAACAGTCAAGTTAATCCGTGGCGTTGGAATCCCGAGAACCATGTTGCGGCATGCGTGATGATCTTCAAACGGGTGTCTTCCAACGAGGCAGCTCCCTCAGTGGGAATGAACCCTTGTATGGGGCCTATGAAGAAGGAGCTTGGAGGTCTGGGAAGGTTTATTACAACATCGTTGATGACTATTAGGTTTACGCTGGTCCTCCTCCTCCTCCACCTCCTCCTCCGCTTCTTCCATCTCCTCCTCCTCCTCCTCATCATCATCATCAGCATCATCATCACCACTACCATCGTCATCATCATCATCATCATCATCATCATCATCAGCAGCAGCATCAGCATCATCATCATCATCATCATCATCATCATCATCATCATCATCATCATCATCATCATCATCATCATCATCATCATCATCATCATCATCATCATCATCATCATCATCATCATCATCAGCATCATCAGCATCATCATCAGCAGCACAATCAGCATAGCATCATCATCCTCATCCTCATCCTCATCCTCCCCCATCTTCCTCATCCTCCCCCTCCTCCTCCGCCTCCTCCGCCTCCTCCACCTCCTCATCCTCCTCATCATCAGAATCATCTTCCTCCTCCTCCTCCGCCTCCTCCTCCTCCTCCTTCTCCTCCTCCTCCGCCTCCTCCTCCTCCTCCTCGTCCTCCCTCCTCCTCCTCCTCCTCCTCCTCCTCCTCCTCCTCCTCCTCCTCCTCCTCCCTCCTCGTCCTCCTCCTCCTCCTCCTCCGCTTCCTCCTCCTCCTCCTCCGCCTCCTTCTCCTCTCTCCGCGTCGTGGCCGTCGTCGTCCTCCGCCGTCGTCTCCGTCGCCACAGAGTCCGCCGCCCGGGGGCTGGCGCCTGCCTGGAGCGGACGGGCCCAACTCTCCTTGGCCTCGTCGAGCGCCGTCACCTGCACCTGGCAGCCGCGGTTGGAGCACTCGGGTGTTGCTAGAAGTGCCCCTGGCCCATGCCTCCAGAATTTCCAAGGAGGCCTCCACGGCCTCCAGAGCACCCCCTCACGAGCTCCAAAGTTGAGCGAGAAGCCGGGGGCACCTTGGGCCAGGGGCACCTCCAGCAACCCCCCAAGCATTTTTGTTGGACGGGCGGACGGACGCTCCCTTCCGCGCCCGGGCGTGCTCCCTCTAGGGACGGAGCGGCGGCGCCGTGGCGCCGAGCATGTTGTCCAGCAACTCATCGCTGAATGTTTTTCGGGGCATTGTTGGAGGCCTCTCGATATCTGGCCAGAGTGCCCAGACATCTGGCGGCTCGACCAAATCGAGACTCCCAGTGGCTCATTATCTTGGCCTTCGGAGGCTTGTTTCGAGCCTCAGGACCGCCCAAAAACAAGTCGGCAAGAAAAAACGGTCCCTGAGAAGTGGTTGCGAGTTCTGGAATTTTGGGGGCCAACGCGTCGAAAAAATCAAGCCGCCAGGGTCAGAAGATCGCGCCGTAAGCATTTACCACGCACTGTCAAGCTACTAGCCATAAGGAACGTCAAATCCGCCGACCCTGTCGGCGTGAGTGAGAGGTTTTTCCGTTTGAGTCGTCCTCGTCGTCGTCGCCGCTACCCCCGAAGCGTTCCAGCCAAAGGAAGATCGAGCAGCAACGTCGTAATCGGGTCGACGGGAAGCCCCTTTCTTTGATCTCTCCCCTGCCGGGGGTCTCTCCCGGGGGTCCCGGGGCAAGTCCCAAGGGAGGTGGGCCGGGAGGGGTCCTGGGAGGAGGGAAGGTCCCGGTGGTTGTGACCTAACCCCCCGGGGTTGAGCACCCCACCCTGGCGGAAGCTGTCGGCTCCAGGGCGTCAGCGTCGTCATCGTCGTCATCGCCGTCGTCGTCGTCGTCGTTGTCGTCGTCATCATCATTGTCGTCGTCGTCCCCCTTCAGGGTCGGCGGCACCGACCAACCGACCCCCCGACCTCCTGGAGCGTGTCCTGACAGGAGCGTTCCCAGAGGCTCAAAATACCAATTAGCCTGGCGAAGGACGCAACCATATGCAGTTGTGAATACCGCAATTGTGAATACCACCTTCGCCCGCGCTCCCTATGTGGCCACGGCTTCCCGCCGGAGCCCGACATGCTCAGGAACACGTTCGTGGCCGTCTTCGCGGGCGCTGACGACGACAAGGACGGCGTCCCTCTGACCGAGGAGCAGAAGCAGGAGAAGGTTTTGAGAGCCATGAGGGAGGAGGTGGCGCTGCACGTCGACAAGGTGGAGTACGACAGGCGCGGTTGTTGAAGCAGCACAACTATGGAGCCACGATCCTCGTGAGGGGTGTGCCGCATTGGCCCGGGGCCGCCATGCGAACCCAGCCTCTGGCGCCTTCGGTGGAGCTCCTGTGGGGCCACGATCCTCGTGAGAGGTGTGCCGAAACGGCCCGAGGCCGCCATGCGAACCCTGCCACTGGCGCCTTCGGTGGAGCTCCCTATGGGGCCACGATCCTCGTGAGGGGTGTGCCGAAATGGCCCGAGGCCGCCATGCGAAACCTGCCACTGGGGCCTTCGGTGGAGCTCCCTATGGGGCCACGATCCTCGTGAGGGGTGTGCCGAAATGGCCCGAGGCCGCCATGCGAACCCTGCCGCTGGAGCCTTCGGTGGAGCTCCATATGGGGCCACGATCCTCGTGAAGGGTGTGCCGAAATGGCCCGAGGCCGCCGTGCGAACCCTGCCACTGGAGCCTTCGGTGGAGCTCCCTTTGGGACCACGATCCTCGTGAGGGGTGTGCCGCAATGGCCCGAGGCCGCCATGCGAACCCTGCCACCTGGGGCCTTCGGTGGAGCTCCCTATGGGGCCACGATCCTCGTGAAAATGGCCCGAGGCCGCCATGCGAACCCTGCCACTGGCGCCTTCGGTGGAGCTCCCTATGGGGCCACGATCCTCGTGAGGGGTGTCCCGAAATGGCCCGAGGCCGCCATGCGAACCCTGCCACTGGGGCCTTCGGTGGAGCTCCCTATGGGAACGCGATCCTCGTGAGGGGTGTCCCGAGATGGCCCGAGGCCGCCATGCGAACCCTGCCACTGGCGCCTTCGGTGGAGCTCCCTATGGGGCCACGATCCTCGTGAGGGGTGTGCCGAAATTGCCCGAGCGCCATGCGAACCCTGCCACTGGGGCCTTCGGAGGAGCTCCCTATGGGGCCACGAAACGTTGTACTGGGTGGCTGAAACGGAGGAGGAGGAGGAGGAGGAGGAGGAGGAGGAGGAGGAGGAGGAGAAGGAGAGGAGGAAGGAGGAGACGCGCGGCACCGTCTCTTCAAAACGAGGACCCAACACCACAGGATGGTTGGGAAAAAACGTCCAAAAACTTCGATACTTGATCCCCGATCGCGACGACGACCACGACGACCACAACGGCAACCACCACCACCAACGGGACGACGTCAGCCGCGGCGGCGGCGGCCACGACGATGGAGGCGGCGGCGGCAAAAACGACGGCGACGACGGCGGCGGCGGCGGCGACGGCCATGGCGGCGGCGGTGGTGGCGGTGGGGGCCACCAGGCGCCTGCAACTCCGGGCGCCCGTACACGTCCTCGACGGTAATTCGCTTGCGGTTGGCGGGGGAGACCTCGCGGCCCGACGACGGCGGCGATGACGACCACCATTCGAGGATCGAGGCTGTCGAACATTCCTGGCCGCGTGGGGGAGGCCTCCTGGGGCCTCTGCTGGCACCGGGGGCCTCTGGAGGCCTCCAGGAACCTCTGAAGACCTCCAGGACTTCCTCCTCCTCCTCCTCCTCCTCCTCCTCCTCCTCCTCCTCCTCCTCCTCCTCCCCCTCCCTCCCTCCTCCCTCCCTCCCTCCCTCCCTCCTCCCTCCTCCCTCCCTCCTCCTCCTCCCTCCTCCCTCCTCCCTCCTCCCTCCTCCCTCCTCCCACCTTCTTCCTCCTTCCTCCCTTCTCCTTCCTCCTTCCTCCTTCCTCCTTCCTCCTTCATCCTTCCTCCTTCCTCCCTCCTTCCTCCTTCCTCCTCCTCCTCATCATCATCATCCTCCTCCACCCGATCTCCCTCCGCACAACCAGGTTGAGGACCATGGCGGCGATCGCCTGCGCCAGCGGAAGCGTCGCCATACCGTCGTCAGCCTCGTGAGCAAAGAGGGCGTCCCACGCCGCCTCCTCCGCAGCCCTGCCACCAAAGCCCAGTTCCAGGCACGACGCAGATGCGCCTCTGTCGCAGCATCGGGCCCTTGAGTCTCATCAGCGCGGGCCGCAGCCCGAGGGCCCGTTCCATGTCAAACCCATGCAGCCGCCGGAGCTTGTGCGGCGAACTCTCCACGGCGGGGGCACACCGCCGATCTCGGTGTCAACCTCTAGGCATCCGACGGCCACGAGTCGTCGCTGCGTCGGATGGCCTCGGCGTGCTGGACCGGCCGCTGCGCTAGCGCGCACGAGGGGGGCGGGGGAGGGGGGAAAGCTTCTTGGCAGGAGGCTGCTCCTCCGAGGGCGCCGGCCCCGCATCCACAGACAGGGCCCGCGCCTGCAAGGAAGCAGGGAGGCTTCAAAGAAGCCTCCCCCCCTCCCCCCCTGCCCCCCCTCCCGGGAGATCCGACGCCTCGACCAAAATGCGACATCGCGAAAAAGCACGACGGGAGCTCCGGACCCTATCTTTCCGCACCGTTCTTCGAGCGAAGTCTTCTTCTTTGCCCTCCGCCCCCCAGGAGGCAGAGCGGGGCCCGCGGGGGGCCGGGCACGGGCGCTGCTCCCGCGGGGGGGGGGGCCGCGGGCGGGCCAGGCTGCCCCTCGGGAGCCTCTCGGGAGGCGCTTGCGGCCGGAAGCTTTTGGAAGCGGGCGGGGGGCATTGGGCAAGGAGCCCTTGCATAATAAAGGGGCGCAGGGACAAACAAATAAATAGACACAAGTCCCAGGACTCCCCCTATGTTTCCCATATGTATTGTTTTTTCGTCTTCCCTCCACTTCCCATGTTTCCCATATTTTCCTGTGAGAACTGTGTCCGTGTGTTCTTTTCCCTCATGGCATAAGGAACCCAGGGCCTGGAAGACGGTGGAACTCCAGTCGTGCATCGGTCATGGATATCACTGCCGCCCTCATTAGACAAAGAGTCCTCAGATGCCTGCAGCCTCCCAGGCACATTCCTTAGCGAACGCCCCCAGCGTAGCGAGTCGCGGCGGCGGCCCCAGCGTCACGCTGTGCCCTGCAAACAGAAAGCGTGTCTCTACGCTCCGCGGAGCGGGAGGCTGGGGAAAGCTCATGGGCGCCTGGGAAGCGCGAAGTGGATGGCGTGTCGCGCCGAAGCGTAGTGGGCGGAGCGACACGCTATCCAAAAGTTCCTGACAGTAGGTTGTCTAAGGGGCTTCTTGGCCCTCTTGGACGCCTGGTGGAGGCCTTTGGGGGCGTACGGGGTTGTCTTGAGAGCCTCTTGGGGGGCATCCTCGATGCCTCTTGGACCGTCTGTGGAACCTCTCTTGCGAACAAAAGAGGCGGTTGGTGCCGGAGACCTCTGGTCCCTATGGGGCAGTCTGCGAATCAGCAAAGGGCCCAACAAGTTGCAAACGCAAAAGCGCGGCCGCCGCCGGCTGCCGCCGATCGCCGCAGGCGTCGCGGTCGTCGGTCGGGACGTCGTGGTCGCCGTGCTCGTCGTCGGGGTGCGTGAGCAGCACCAGCGGCAGCTTGGCAGCAGCCGCGGCAGCGGCCGAAGGAGCAGGACACGGGGCGCGCGGCGCCGTGGGGAGCTGCCACCCGCACGCTGTCTGGTGACTGTCTGGCCTCCCATGGCCCATAGATGGCCTGGCCACCTGTGGCTTCCCTGTGGCTTACCGCCACGCTGAGAGGAACGCTGGGTAGGGGGCAGCTCAGGGGGAGAAGCATCGACCTGGAATCGGCGATACATCGCCGACAGATCAGCTATCGGGCCCCTATCCGTGATGCATGGGCGATTGGGGGTCGATGCGCCCCCCACCCTGAGACTAGCCCCCCCCCCCTTACGTTGCTCCTGACCACTCATCCATCCCACTGGCCGTCTGTCGCACTCGGTGCTGGATATTTGGACTCCTGTGGGTCCCTAAGGATCCCTGTGACTTCCCGCCCCGACCGCGGAACTCCACGCGCGAAGGGTCCAACCCACAGACACGTGGGGCACCACAGACAAACTCTGTGATGTTCGCGCGCTGGCATCAGATCTGATCTTTTTGTCGCTGCAGGAGGGCAGGGACAACAACACCACAGCCCCACACCCTGGATGCTCGTTTTTACTCATCCGCCGGCCCCCTTACGGGGCCACCAGGCTGCGAGGGTTTTGATTGCAGCTCCCTGTTCCAGTTGCAGTTTCCAGCTTCCACTGTTACAGTCCTGCTTTCTGCTTCCTTACTGCTGATTGTTGCTGAACGCGCGAGGGGGGGGCAGCCCCAAACCAGCTTTTCTACTACGCCCAAATCGCGTTGTCAGAATTCCTGGGGGGGGCGTGGGACACGTACAAATACATAATATTCGCGTCACCGAAACCATAATCCCGAATAAATGAAACCATATTCCCGTCCCCGAGGCCATAAACCCTTGTAAATGAATCGACAATTGCGTCCCCGAGGCCACAAACCCCCGTAAAGTATGCAATATTCGCTTCCTCGAAGCCATAAACCATCATGCATTACACAAGATTCGCGCCCCCGAGACCATAAACCCACGTAACTTGTAGAATACTCGCGCCCCCGAAGCCATAAACCTTCGAAAATTATGCAATATACACGTCCCCAGGGCCATCAACCTTCATAAAATACACCGTACTCGCGTCCCCGAGGCCACAAATCCTAGCAAATTACACAATGATACTGGAGAAAAACCCCAATCATAATCATTTTAGGGCTATAGGACTGTGGGGCTATAGGGCTCTAGGACCATAGGGCTATAGGTCTATAGGGCTATAGGGCTATAGTGTTATAGGCATATAGAGTTATAGGGTTATAGAGCTATAGTGCTATAGGGCTGTAGGGCTACAAGGCTGTAAGGCTATAGGGCTATAGGGCTATAGGGCTATAGGGCTATAGGGCTATACTGCTATAGGGCGATTGGGCTATAAGGCTATAGAGCTATAGGGCTTTAGGGCTCTTGGGCTATAAGGCTAATGGGCTATGGGGCTATGGGGCTATATAGGGCTATATGGCTATAGGGCTATAGTACTCTAGGGGGCTGTAAGGCTGTAGGGCTATAGGGGTATAGGGCAATAAGGCTAAAGGGCTATAGGGCTATAGGGCTATACGGCTATAGGGCTATAGGGCTATAGGGCTATAGGGCTTTAGGGCTATAGGGCTCTAGAGCTATAAGGCTTAAAGCTATAGGGCTATAGGGCTACTAGGCACCCAGGCACCCGGGCACCTGGGCACCCGGGCGTGCCGCCGAAATCGGCGCCGTACATCACCTAAACATATGAATCCGCTAGGACCCCTACAGAGGCAAGCTCTGATTGGGGAATATTGTCATCCCCAAGGCCATACACCCTCGTAAGTTAAACAAAAGTTACGACCCCGAGGCCATAAACCCTCGTAAACTACACAATGGCTGCGTCCCCGAAGCCACAAACCGATGTCAATTATCTAATACTCGCGTCCGCGAAGCCATAAACCATCGTAAATTACCTAAGGTTCGCGCCACCGAAGACATAAACCCTTGTAAATTAGTATTGGCCCTCGCGTGAAGTCCCGACATTGCTTCACGTCAGCGTCCAGACATCCCAACACAGCTCTGGCAAGTCCCATTCTAAGAGAGGGGGGCCAGCGGCATGGGGGCGAAGTCCTTACGGATAAAAACAAAAAACACGAGAGCATGAAACGATGTTCAAACAATTTGGATTAGTGCAAATCGGGGGGCGCTCCAATATCAAGTCGACTGAAGGAAGATGAAAGCGAACCAGAACCGCGGGAACAGATAGCAGATGCATTTGTCATCAAAAGTTTTATGCGGAGGGCTGCCCATCTGACAAACGAGAGGAGAAAGGCTTCACTAAACTCTAGCATCAAAAGACAACTGGCACTAGTCCTCCTGCCGCGGCTACCCTCGCTGCAATGCCACTGCTGCTTCTGCCACTGTGGCCACAAGTACAGCACTGGCGACGATGGTGTGGAACCCACTGCGGTCGCTTCGCTTCAGATGCCCTGCAGCCCTCGTTTCCCCGTCCGGTGACACAAACTCGTCGATTCGGGCCGCTCTCCCACAGGCAGGAGCCAGCATCGTCGTAGATGACGTACTTGTACTCGAACGAGAGCTCTTCCTGCACCCCCATCCACGGCCCAGCACAGTGATGCGTAGGCAAGAACTCGAGACCACGAGTTAGAGTTCCACAAAGGGTGGTGAAAAGGCAGCGCTGGGGCCGTCGCCACGCGGGGAAGGGGGGCGAAGACGACGGGGGGGCGGAGGAGGGGAAGGGCACTAGAGGCAGACTAAGAATGAGGCTGTGTGGTGTTTTGTTCCGATTGCCAAAAAGAATAAAACGAATGTATAGCACGGGAATAGAACGGGCGCGGTATCTGATCAGCTGCCAAGCCCCCGGGCCAGAACGGCAATGGCAAAGGGAGACGATTGAGAGAGGCAAAAGCATGGACAGAGCGACGATCTACCCTTCGAATATGGTGGCAAAACGGGTCTGCTCGTGCCTCGCTGGTTCAGGTGTGCAAACCACACCCAAACCAGCGAAGCCAAACCAAACTAAGATGAGGAGATCTTCTACTGACCAGGTCTCACTAAACAGCTATGTAAATTTACTGGGAAAACCCTCTACGAACTGGGCTCCTCACAAAAATTGCGCAAAAGATGGAGGCTGGCAGGGTGCCCGGGCGCAGTGGATGAACAGCACGATGCGGGAGGAGTCGCCGCGAGCACGTCAGGAAGCCGCGCGGGCCATGGCGGCTGTGGATAACGGAGCAACGTGCTCCGCTACCAGTTAAGAGGATGTGTAGCACTTATCAAAATAATCAGAGGAATCAAGCTGATATATATATATATATATATATATATATATACCTATATATATATATATACATACATACAAACATATATACAGATGTATAGCACGGAAATAGAGCGGGCGCGGTAGCTGATCAACAACCATACCCCCTGGCCAGAACGGCAATGAAAAAGGGAGACGATTGAGAGAGGCAAAGGCAGGGACAGAGCAATGAGCTACCGTTCAGGTGGCAGGAGTAGGAGGAGAAGGAGGAGGAGAAGGAGGAAGGGGAGGAAAGGGGGAGGAGGAGGAGGAGGAGGGAAGGGGGCATCACATGCGAAGAGCCCAGGTCGGGCAGGAGAGCTTGCGGCGAGAGGTCCACCTGGATTCCGCAGAAATCCCGGGGGAGACAGGGCGGCGTCAGGAGGCACGATCTGGGACTGTGCTTCCTCGCGCTCTGGGGGGCCAGGCGAGGTGTGCGAGGTTGGGGTAGGTGTAGGATTGCTGTTGCTGCTCATGTTGAGTACTGGCGACCCGCAGACGTTTTTTGCGCAGAGCCGAACAGATCTTACAGAAAGGTTGTGACCTGCAACTGCCACGTGCGTCAAACGGCTGAACCTGTCTTACCGCTTTCCTTGGGGGCAAGGCGAAGTGAACTCACACGGGAACTCTTTCAGATGGGAAGCACTGGCACCATCGTGATTGCCTGCATAATCGTTATCATTGCCACCCAGCTCAGATTCATCGTTAGTCATTGCCGTGATCATGATCGTTCATATCCTACCCTCAGCCAGGCGGCAAACAGGGCAGGGCAGGCTCGAGAAGAATACTCAAAGAGAGGGATACGGGCGTGACCGCGGCGATCCCCTCCGTTGGGATGCTCAACCAGTCCGAACGCCAGGTCGGAAAGTCCGAGGGGGTGGTGCCTCAGTGGGTAGGTCTGAAAGAGACGCAGATCACACGCTCGTACACTT